GTGGCAAGAAAACAGCATCATTTTGTAAGAAATCGGTGACATCAATCATGGCATGGACCATGGTGCCGTTGTCCCACAGCTCCCAGTGGTCAGAGGCATGTACAATGGCCATGTAATGGCCAAGGCCGTGCACAATGCAGGCAGAGATGTGGGATGGAGGATTAAACCACTCACCTGCTCGAGCATTGCGGAGTTCAAGTTGACGGTCCCTCATTGCTACTTGTAGGACAGCAATGGTAAAGCCTCCTTCGCTGGTATAATTACAATCCACTGGCTGTCGTTGGGGAAGATCAGCATCAAGCTGAAGGGCGATTGCAAGGAAGTCTGATGGTGTATAAAAAGGGCGGTGGAGAATGTGAAGACAGATATTAGTTGCTGCCAGAGCACAGAGATTGTTGAGGTTCTCAGGCTGGTTTGTTGGATGCTGGCCAACAATTTGCAGATCACCCAGATGGCGTTGCAAGCCCAAACTGTGTTGGGTTGTTTGCTGGTCAGTCATTTGCAGATCACCCATGTAGTCTGCGAGCGGCGGAGCACAAAATTGTGGTTCATCCGAACAATGCTGGTCATCCATTTGCAGATCTCCCATGTGGTCTACGCCTTGCGGGGTCAACTGCAATCCRGGCAGATCATGTTCCAATCCCTCAACGTTTAGGGCTGCATCCTGAGTAGGGACTGTACCTGGAGTCGGGAGTGTACTCTGGGCAGCGGCTGCATCCTGAGTAGGGACTGGTGGCTGCCTGCAGGCAGCTGGACTGTCTGCAGGAGGCATAGGAGCGGATATATATATAGTCAAACAGAGCTGCCCGGTAAACCGTAGGCAGGGAGGGAGAAGAGGACAACAAACGAGGGGTATATATCGTCACAAATAGAACTGCCCGGTAAACCGTAGGCAGAGAGAGAGAAGAGGACAACAAACGAGGGGCTGTGACAAACTGTTTCGTCGGAGTTTCACCGACTCATCATATATATATATAGTCAAACAGAGCTGCCCGGTAAACCGTAGGCAGATATATATATATATATATATATATATAGTCAAACAGAGCTGCCCGGTAAACCGAACGCAGAGAGGGAGAAGAGAAGAGGACAACAAACGAGGGGCTGTGGCAAACTGTTTCGTCGGAGTTTCACCGACTCATCAGGAGGCTGAACCCTCAACAGTCTGCAGAATCCCCTAACTGATTACACTGTAAGTGATAATCCACCTTAACCCCGGCTGTGGTTAAGCATCAACGACTGCCCGACAACTGATACCCTGAGGTGGGCACCAACCACTGCCCTCAAGGTACCTGTGGCAAAAGTCAAAGCAGACTATCACTCACCCACACCAGATGGAAAACTCTACAGACTGTCGGTTCACACCCCATGATATATATATCTATATATATATATATATATATTCTGGTCATCAATGACATCTGGATTCGAACTGAGTTAGGTCTTATTGCAACAGTTCGTGTGTGTACCAACTAAGCTAGGCCCATTGGTACGGGTTCGCATTCGAGAGTCTGTGTGGGGATGCACAACCTCTCTAAAATCGGAGCTTGGAGAGTGTTGTCGTCAGGCCATACGACCAGGAATCCCCTTGTAAAGACGACGAGTATCCACATGCCAACATGGCAGTATATTTTCCACCGAACTATATACGGGGTGTTTCGCACTGGAAACCCGACAACTTTCTTCATGTGTGCATGTTCATTCCTTTTTTTTTTCTTTTTTTTTTTTGAAGGGGGGGGGGGGGGGGGAATGTTCATGAATCATAATATTTCAAGAGCAAGGAGGCCGGGAATCCCTCCACAATACAACCCGGAGTCTGGGACCATTACCCAGTATAGGCTAAAACCGGGTCCATACGTCCCTTGCATGTTCATTCTGTCTAATGTCTGGCCACCAAAACTGTTGCAACAGACAAGTGTGAAAGAATACCCGTAGCCAGAGTGACTTAGGGCATACTCACACTAGGAATTTCCAGGAGGTATATGACCGCTTTTTCTGACATGCCCAGATGCACCTGACCGCAATTACGACCACAGAGAAATGCAACAAGTCCTTAGTGTGCGTATAAGCGACGGTTCGAAACCACGTCAAGCACAGCTGGATCCTCCAATACTTTCAAGTTTCAGCACAGAAATCATAAACTGATTGAGGACGTCCATTGCTACCGGGGCCACAAAAGATAGGGATGCTATGAAGCAGCATGGACGACGATACTCTCTCTCTCTCTCTCTCTCTCTCTCTCTCTCTCTCTCTCTCTCTCTCTCTCTCTCTCTCTCTCTCTCTCTCTCTCTCTC